TTGAACCTGGGAGACGGAGGTTGTGGTGAGCCGAGATCATGCCACTGCACTCCAGCCTGGGTGACAGAGCGAGACTTTGTCTCAAAAATAAATAAATAAATAAACAAACAGACGCTGTATACTCATTCATTCAGCAAGTATTGACTGAGTGCTATATGTCAGGTACCAGACAGTAGTTCTGTGTTCTAGAGGCACAACAGCAAACACACACAGTAAAAACAACAAAATAACCCACCCACATGTATCTTTTTTTTTAAGAGGCAAGAATAAACTATACTATTTAGGGACATACATTTGGGTGATAAAACAAAATGCAAAGAAGCAATTACTATACAAAATAATAAACAGATGATGTAGTATATTAGAAGGTAGTAAGTGCTATTGAGAAAAATAAAACAAGCAAGAGAGATAAGGAATGGTAGGACAGAAACTGCAATTTTGAATAAGTGGTTAGGGAAGGCTTTGTTGAGAGAATGACATTCAGGACCTGAAGGAGATGAAGGAACAAGCCAAGTGTATAGCTAGAAAAAGAGTTTCAGGCAGAAGCAGTAAGAGAAGCCCTGAGACCTAGAATGTCCCTGGCATGTTCAAGGAATCTCAAGGAAGCCCGTGTGAATGACAGAGAGAGCGCAGCTAAAACTGAGGGAAGAAACAGGGAGGTTCAATCATGTAGAGTCCGCAGACAACTCTAAGAATTCTGACTTTGAATAACATGAACAGAAAAAATAGGGTTTTGAGAAGAGGAATGTCTTATTCTGACTTAACATTTTAACAGGATCACTGGGTCTGCTGTGTTGGGAATGGACACAAATGGGGACCAGTTAGGAGACTACTACTAGAGTCAAGGATAATGACCAAGTTTGAAGCTTACCAGGTTTAGACTTGAACAAACAGAAAACTGGAAATGCCATTAATTCAGATGGACAAGAGTGCAGGAGGAACAGATTAGGGGAGATCAGAAACTCAGTTTGACAAGCTACATTCAAAATGTTATTAGATATGGAAATCGAATTGAAAGACATTGAATAGGCAGGTGGATATATAAATCTAGGCATATACATATTTTATATATATTTTAAAGTTTTCAACAAATTTAGAGCATTTCAATTAACTTCTCTCTCATATATAATACATAAGACAAGCTCACAGCAAACAAACTGAGCAGACAACTATACTTGGAATTGCTATACTTGCCAGTGACCATGAAGAGTGAGGGCTGCAGCCAGGGAATAGTCCATCGCAGAGCAAGGATTCAAATAAGCAGCCGGAAGCAGACCCAGGAGCAAAACACTGACAACCCTCTCGCTAGTCCAGTGGAGAGACGCAGCCTTGGAACCAGCTACAGAAAGGACCAGATTCATAAAAGTCGATGTGAGAAACACATCTTTCATGTTCAACATATGCCACACAGTAACCCAAACTGACAGACCGTATACATATAGGATATAACTCTGAGTACAAAGGAAGTAAAATATTAAAATAGTAGTTAAGAGAGAAGCTATCTTTGTTTTTTGAAGTCTTTATCTCTGTTTTTTGAAGTATTTTAGCAAAAGGGTATCGCAATGCCTACATATTGATTAGAAGACAGATCCAAGAAGATGGATAAAATACAGAATTGCTCTATTGCTACAGAATTAAGGCCGTCTTGGTTCAGTGAAGTGAACAAATTACCTTATGAATGTAAGTTAGTGGGCCGGGAGTGGGTGGCTCACAACTGCAATCCCAGCACTTTGGGAGGCCGAGGTGGGCAGATCACCTGAGGCCAGGAGTTTGAGGAAGTCAGGAGTTTGAGACCAGCCGGGCCAACATGGTGAAACCCATCTCTACTAAAAGTACAAAACTTAGCTGGGCGTGGTGGTGGGCACCTGTAATCCCAGCTACTCGGGACGCAGCGGCAGAAGAATCGCTTGAACTCAGAAGGCGGAGGTTGCAGTGAGCCAAGATCATGCCACTGCACTCCAGCCTGCACAACACAGCGAGACTCTGTCTCAAAAAAAAAAAGAAAAAAATTTTAAAGACTTAGGCTAGAAGGTCTTCTATGATTATAAATGGCATCATTCAACCATAATGGCACTAGTCTGCCCAAAGGTGTAAACTAGGTCTTCATTTGACAGAGTTGGACACAAGAGTCCCCCCTACAGGTAGGAAGTCCTGCTCAAGGCATGACAATTAGTGAAGGTAAAGATGGCTAGAGCCCAGAAAGCAGCAGCAATGGAGAGAACATACAATGGTGCCTGGGTGACAAGTGAATGTGCTGCACTCCACGCCATTCTGGGATAGGTCGGTCCTGAAGAAATGCTGAGATATGAGCAGGTCTGACCACTGGGGTTCGCAGCAACAGAGCTGAGGAAAGAGTAGGATGCTCATAAGAACGCCTCCTTTAACAGGACTGAAAACTTTCTAAAGGACCATAGGTAAGCTACTTAACCCTAAATAGGGAATAACATCTCATCTGTAAAATGATGATAGCATCTATTTCACTGGGGTTACTCTGAAGTTAGACTAGGGAACATCTGCATGTTCCCTACTTTATTTAATGACACCTCAGGCATTCTTTAACCTAACTCAGTAATCTGGAAGTCATGAGAGACGTTTCCCCTAAATTCAATCGCCAAATCCTATTGGCATATCTCTTTAACATTTCTTGAAACAATCTTCTTTTCTTTGTGCTACTTTCCTAGTTCAGGACCCCATCTTGCCTGGACTACTACGACAGTGTTTTCCTCATCAGAGTGAAAGTTCTTTGAGGGAGGGAACTACGTTTTCCTTTACATTTGTATCCTAGCATTACTACAGTGCCTGCGGTAGAACAAATACCCAGGTTAAATGATTTTCGAACTGATCCCCTCGTTCACTCCCACACCCAAACACACCAACTCCAGAAGAAACGGGCAAGCGCCTAACCCTCTTTCCCGATTCAGGGTGGGAGCCAGTGGGGAGCATTCTAGGGACAGTAAACGGGGAGAAAACAGAACTCCTATGTGGATTAGCCTCATCAGGACTGCAACTTCCAGAGCGAGCGCTCTTCCTGATTATTCCGTCAACTCAGCTCACAGCAAGTAACTATAGTGGTCATTGCTGTGATTTCGGGATTTTCTTCTCCTCAAGAGACCTCCCACCCGGCAGATGAGTCCTCACTTTCATCCCCTTCCCTGGCTGGAGGCTGTGCTAAGCACCTCAGGGTGCGAAGACCCCTCACCTCGGCCTCCTTGGGCACCGCAAAAGGCACTCAGCCTCCAGACAACCGCCATCTCGTTCCTGAGGGCTCAAGGTCATCCACCAACCCGGAAGCACTTAGGCGACAATTCCCACCCACGATGACGAAAGAAAACAGGGAGGAGGAAAATGCTGAGAGAACCGGAAGTCGATAGGCGGGGCACACCCGTCGCGCTTGCGCAAACACTGTTGTCGGAAAGTGGCGAGCCTGAGGCGAACAATGGCCGAGCTGGGTGAAGCTGATGAAGCTGAGTTGCAGCGCCTGGTGGCCGCCGAACAGCAGAAGGCGCAGTTTACTGCACAGGTGCGGGGGCGGGGAGGGTGAAGGGAAAGGAAGTTTCACCTTCCTTGCTGGTCCTGGGCACGCTCGCAGGTCTGTACACTGGCGGCTCACTGGTGCTGGATCCCGGCTGCATCCCATTCCCCTCACAAAAGACAAGTCATGGCTCTCCTGTCCCTGGTGACTGGTAGTGCTCAGGTGCCGGCTATGTAAGCGTAGCGTGGAGAAAAGAAAAGGTGTAAAGCAGGGAAGAAGATTTGGGCGACGCAAGGGTACGAGAGCCTAGTTAGCCAGGCGATATGACTGGGCTGGCATTCAAAAGATCTGGGTTCTCATCCTCCCCCTGCTCCTTGCAGGCCACGTGCCCGTAGAAAAGATACTAATCCACTGTGGGTTTTGGTTTCGCCGTCACCCCACTGCCTCACTGAATTATGAGGACCGTATGCGAATGTATTTGAAAACGACTAGAACATTATTGGAGGAAGGTGGACTCTGAAGTAGTCGCTGTAGAGTATGGATTAGAACAAGGGTTTGGAGCCCTTCGGGCATGGTTCTAACCCAGCCTGACTTGCTGGCTACATGACCTTGGACTACGTAATCACGCCTCTTAAATGGGAGGTGATGACAGCTATCCTTGAGGACCTTAGAGAGAACTGATTTCTTAGTAACCAGCCTCACAAATAGTAAGCTCTTGGGTTTTTTTTTCCTTTTGGGTGGGAGGAAGAGGGTGCTTGGAGGATGACCAGCAAGAACCCTGGCTAGAAATCTTTGGGCCCTGAACATGCAAATGAAAGTGCACATAATTTCTGTGCCTGTATGTGCATTCTTCTGGGGAGTGGATCCATAACCCCCAAAAGGTTAATGGAAGAATTACCTTGTCTAGGGGATAGGTTTGGAATGAGTGCAATACTTCGGGGAAATTAATTGGTTCCCTAGTTTGTTCACACTGGTGCTAGCTACTTTGCGGAATATAAAAGGTTATTAGTCCTACCTGAGAATGTACAATCTGTAGGGACGAGGATCTGGATCAATATTGGTGACTAATTAGGAAATGAAGAAAGAGAAGAGCCTAAAGTGACTCCGTGGTTGATTTAAAGAATGGTTTTGTCAGGTGTCAAAAAGTGAGAAGTTAATAAACAAGAGTTAGGCCTATCTGCAGACCCAAATGGTTACTCTTTTTCTTTCCTTTTAGGTGCATCACTTCATGGAGTTATGTTGGGATAAATGTGTGGAGAAGCCAGGGAATCGCCTAGACTCTCGCACTGAAAATTGTCTCTCCAGCTGTGTAGACCGCTTCATTGACACCACTCTTGCCATCACCAGTCGGTTTGCCCAGATTGTACAGAAAGGAGGGCAGTAGGCCATCCCCCAGGAGAATGACAGAAGCAAAGGACTTGTTATTAAGCAGACTTAAGGGCCTGTGGGGGAAGGCTGTCAACCCATTGTCAGATCAGCATCAGGCTGTTATCAAGTCTGTTGGTGCTAAAAAGTAAAAGATGAAATGTTCAAAGAGTGAAATTTATTTATTTGGAATTCAGAAATTCCAGGTTGTTACCATGTCAGTTACTCAATAAGTGTGAATTCTCCAACTCTTCTTTTAATCCCATTTTAGAATTTAATATAGAGATCTCTGATTGGCAGGAACACTAGAAATAAATGTTCCATGGCCAGTAGTGCAAATGGGGGATTATAGGTTTTTGCAAAACCACCCTAAGCCATATTAAGGGGGTTGGAAGAACCATCAAAGCCTAAGGCATAGAAGAAAATTTGGGGTTAAGAAAGGTGAAGAACAAAAAACAGCTTTATTGCTTATACACGACCAAGAAAAGGTAAACATGGCAAAAAAAAAAAAAAAAAAAAAAAAAGCAAGATGTGTATTCCTTGGGAAAGAGCAAGCCTGCTAGCTTGGCAGGAAGAGAAGGTCAGGACCCAAATAGAGCTAATTTCCTGGAGATGGCCTGTTATACTGGCCCATTTTCCTGAGTCTGTGCTTAAACCAGTACTTTCAGGGCACAAAAACAACGCATGCTAAAAAATATATGGCCAAAGCTCCTTCCAACAAAGATTTAACTTGCTCCAGGAACAAAATAATTGCTTTAGGTTAAGAGGTAGTAATTAAGAGACTATTCCTCTCCCTTTAGGCCCCCACTAATCCCCAAAATAAAAATACACACCATGGAACATTGACAATTGAGTACCAAAGTATTAAAATTTCAAATAAATATCCCAAAAGGTAGCACCTGCTCATAGTTAAGGGATAGGGCACCTCTGTCCAACCATGTATTTCAGGACCAAGCACTTTATTAGAAATCTGTCCCGTAAAGAGAACAAATTTAGCAGTTAGAACTAAAAATACCAACTCATGGAATGTCATCATAGTTGTATCTACTGCTGGTGTCTTATACTGTCATGCTACCATGAAGTAATTCTGTATTACACATCAGGAAAGTAAGGCCAGGAAGGTGAACTTACCTGCTCTGGGCCTCCTCATAACCAATGAGTGGCAGAACCAAGACCAAAAGTGAGTTTTCAAGCTTTTTACTCAGCCCATTAAGTGACAACCATGAAAAAATAACAATATGTCACTTGATCTTTCTTCCCATAGTGAAAAAATTCACCTGTGTTCTGCCAGCCTTCTTTCAGTGGTATTTTGGTTTCTTAAGAATTGAACATACTAAGGATCACAGTATAGCGAAGGGAAATAATGTGGTCTCTGCTTGGTGCTTTAATCCAAAGGCAGACTGGGAAGAATTGGATATGTCCCTGAGAAGCCTATTTCGTTTTGGAAAATAATTCAACTTAGTTTCAGGGAAAACCTAAACTTCATTAACAGATTTAGAAATAAACAAGACAACATTTAAATGGCAGTTGCTGCCCTGAATCCAGAGTACCATTAGACAACATGATTATTTCCTAATTCTTCCCCATTTGGTAGAGGGTTATCTATGACAACTGAAGAAATAATTTGAACACAAGTCCATTTAGGCAAATATACAGCAATGGAACTAGAAAACCATTTACTATCCAATTAACCATGTTTAGGCGTATACTAAGTATAGCTATCTGCCCCGTCCAGCAGGGAAATTTGTGAAAACTCTAGTCCCTTCTAGTAAGTTGTCTATGGATGTTATCATGAAGGGAAAAGGTTTGTTCTTCGGCCCATTTCCTGATTAAGTAAACTGGACCACACTTGTGGGGTCAAAATACAGAAGGATCAAAGCACCAAGGCTAAAGACAAGTCAGTTGTGACACCTGCTATATAAACAGAGAGCAATATAGTGTTGCCTTGTCATACCATCCTACACGGCATTAGTTCCAATCCACCTCTTGATCCCAGCCCTTGACTTCCCCAAATTCAATATTCTGATTGGTGTACCCAGGTCACTATTGGATCCAGCTTTCTGGGTCCTTTAATTTGCTGTATATGCACTCTACATTAAACGTAATTAATGCAAAAAAAAATAATCTCTTCAAGAAACCTTCATAACAAAATACCAGATTCCCCTTTAACAAGAAAAGGGGATCAAGCTTAACGCCAAAATAGAAGACAAGAAGTCTGTCAGAACATAAGGATGGCACAAGACAGCTCTGACCTCGCCCTGTGCTGAACAAGAGTCACTGGCAAAACCACAAGAAGTAAGAACTGTAAATATCCACAGTCATGTGGAAAACAAAAGTGTTTCCCATTTAGTCATCCTCTGAACTCTCAGCAGACCTTTCATCTGTAGCTACTTTCCAATTTGTGCGTTTGTTTGTCCTCTCCTGTATTTCACTGTTGGCTACAGGCGTATGGACTTTTTTCTCTCTCTTTTTCCTTTTGGTTTTCTTAGTGTCTCTTTCCTCACTTTCCTCAGAACTGCTGGATGCTGAATCATCTGAATGTGAAGTGTTACCTTCTGCCTCTAAGAATAAAGCAGGTTTTTTGAGAGACTTTTTCCTGGATTTTTTCTTGCGCTTATGTGGTTGTTTCCTTTTCCTTGTACCAGAAGCCCCCGTTTCTTCTGAGAACTCACTCGAGGAATCTGCTGTTATATCTGTGGCTTCCTTTTTGCTTTTCTTCTGTTTTTTGTGTGACCTTTTTTTCTGCTTTTTTTTGTGGGATTTCTTTGACTTCTTGTGTTTGTGGGATTCATGGGTAGATGACTTTACCTGGGGAGATGTTTTTTTCCCATTGGTAATATCTTGCTGATCACTACTAATAAAAAAGTAAAAAATAGAAGCTTTTATGTAAAAAAAAAAGCATATTATTTTAATATTTTGCATTCTAGATAAAAAAATTGAGATTAACATCTGAATTTTAAATCAGCACTTTAACATATACTTTAACACTTTAATATTCTCATTGAGTTTTTGTTTCCTCTTCTTTAAAATGAAGGTAAAAATTCTGAGCTGCCATACTGGGTTACTGTATGGAGTACTATATATAAAAACCAAAATGCTTACAGACATGCCAGACATCAACCACAGAATGGCAAAACAGGGATCACCTCCTAACTAAATCACCTATTGTTTCTCTAGCTACATTTTCAATGGCAAGTATATTCTTTGTAAAAGTTAGAAAATCAATTTATAATACAGATTTTGTACCATCTTAGTTTCTTTTGGTAAGCCCATTTTCCTTACCTGTCTGTTTCAAATTCTTCAGGGTATAACTCTTTATAACCACTGTGACCCCATCTGTAATATGACACACCATATGTATTGTTAAAGCAATGTATACGTTTTTGGAAATTAAAATTAGAAAGACTTTGGAGTACATGCATACACAAACATAAACACAAAATAGAGATATGGTAGAACCAAGCCCACATTACAGCTCAGTAACAGCTACATTTCCTGTATTGTGCACTATCATTTAAGACACAGAAGATTCTTTGGTCCATTTGTAAGAGAACTTGCCATTGTTTTAAGAATCACTAACGAACCTTACACTCTGCTCTTTAGCTGTGAAGCACTTTTCCAAAAACACTTCATAATATCATGCTGTCTACATGGGGACAATTTTTTTTTTTTTGAGATGGAGTCTCTCTCTGTTGCCCAGGCTGGAGTACAGTGGCACGATCTCAGCTCACTGCAACCCCCGCCTCCGGGTTTCAAGTGATTCTCCTGCCTCAGCCTCCCGAGTGGCTGGGACTATAGGCATGTGCCATCATGCCCAGCTAATTTTTATATTTTTAGTAGAGATGGGGTTTCATTATGTTGCCAAGGCTGGTCTCGAACTCCTGACCTCATGATCCGCCCGCTTCGGCCTCCCAAAGTGCTGGGATTACAGGCATGAGCCACTGCACCCAGCCTTATTTTTTATTTATTTTTATTTTTTTCTTGAGACAGAGTCTCACTCAGTTGCCAGGCTGGAGTGCAGTGGTGCAATCTCGGCTCAACTGCAACCTCCACCTCCTCGTTTCAAGCGATTCCCCTGCCTCAGCCTCCCAAGTAGCTGGGACTACAGGCTCATGCCACCACGCACAGCTAATTTTTGTATTTTTAGTAGAGATGGAGTTTCACCATGGTAGCTAGGATGGTCTCAATCTCTTGACCTCGTGATCCACCCGCCTCGGCCTCCCAAGTACTGGGATTACAGGCGTGAGCCACTGCACCTGGCCTATTTCTTTTTAAATAACAACTTTATTGAAGTATAAATTCACATATCATGGAATTCAAAGTGTAGTGCCTCCAGCCCAGGGCAATCACTAATCTACTTTCTGTCTCTATGGAATTGCCTACCACATAAATGGATTCATACAGTTATGTGTGGACATAGTACATACATAGAATCATACAATATGTGGTCTTTTGGAACTTGGCTTCTTTCTTCTCACTTAGCATAATGTTTTCAAGGTTTATCCATGTTGTAACATATATCTGTACTTCATTTCTTTTACTGCCAAATAATATTCCATTGTATGGATGTATCACATTTTGTTTACCCATTCATCAGTTGACAGACATTTGGATTTACTTGGCCATTATTTTTTGGGGCCATTATTAATAATGCTGGTATGAACATTTGTACACAAGTTTTTTGTGGGGACAATTAATTTTGATAAGTACACATTCTCAGGCCAAATATTAATGCTCACAGGAATTAATCACAAACCTGTCTGGCATGTTAGCTTCATAATCATATAACTTCTTGTTCCAGGATTTTGCCTTAAGAAAATCATCTTCCAGTGTCCCAGAAATTTCATTCTTTGGCCTCCAATAGTCTCTTTGACTTTCTTCATCAAAACCATCACTGCGCATCCGGCTAAAAGAGAAAGCAGAAGAACTTTTAGATGTAAAAGCAATCTGTGAGTTTACTTTATGGAACATCATGCACAAAACTCATGGAACAAGCTGAGGGGGAAGGAAACAACATGATACTGTTTAAAAAAAAAAAAAAAGGTAAAGACATCTGTTCCTCTCTATACATCTGTAAAGTCCAATGGAAGAAATCTGACCAGGCCTAGTGTGGTGGCTCATGCCTCTAATCCCAGCACTTTATCTGTTCCTCTCTGTACATTTGTAAAGTCCAGTGGAAAAAAATCTGACCAGGCCAGGTGCAGTGGCTCACGTCTGTAATCCCAGCACGTTGGGAGGCCAGGGCAAGTGGATCACTTGAGGTCAGGAGTTCAAGACTAGCCTGGGCGACATGGTGAAACCCTGTCTCTACTAAAAATACAAAAAAAGTAGGTGTAGTGGCACACACCTATAGTACCAGCTACTTAGGAGGCTGAGGCAGGAAAATTGCCTGAACCTGGGGAGGCAGAGGTTGCAGTGAGCCCAGATCACGCCATTGCACTCCAGCCTGGGCAACAGAGTGAGACTCCATCTCAGGAAAAAAAAAAAAAATCTGACCATTAGTACACATCCTATTGCAAAGCATAGAGAGATGAAATCAACTCTGGACTGTCATGTGATAGTTCACTCGCTGATTCTCAACTAGGAAGGCATGCAAAGAGGGAAGCAGAACATAATCATAGCTAGGGACACTTCAAACTACCCTAGAGATTCTGAAATACACTTCCCTCTGTGCAAACCAGCAACTTACTATAGAGAGGTCCCAATAACAGTGGGAACAAGGTCTAACCCATGGGAATAGTTGAGTAGGAAAAAAGTTGAGAACCATTGATCCAGCTTCTGTTTACCACTTCTACTAACTAGCCAGTAAGCTGCTAATCAGTTATCAAAAATTCGTAAGGGGCCAGGCCCAGTGGCTCACACCTGTAATCCCAGCACTTTGGAAGGCCTAGGCGGGTGGATCACTTTGAGCTCAGGAGTTCGAGACCAGCCTGGCCAACATGGTGAAACCCTGTCTCTACTAAAAATACAAAAATTAGTCAGGCATGGTGGCAGGTGCCTGTAATCCCAGCTGATTGGGAGGCTGAGGCAGAATAATTGCCTGAACCCAGGAGGTGGAGGCTGTAGTGAGCCAAGACCACACCACTGCACTCCAGCCTGGGTAACAAGAGCGAAACTCCGTCTCAAGAAAAAAAAAAATTGTAAGGGCCTCTTATGTACCAGGTATTGGTCTAGCGGGCAGGAATACAGCAGCAAATGAGAAAATCACAAGCCCTGCTCCTAAAGAGTTTAAGTATTTCTTATATATGTAGCTCTTACACTTACAAGCATATAAGGATGTTCCCAATTATTCAAGCATTCCTAGGCCTCTCCACAAGGAAAACACAACTAACCTTGCATAATCCTTCATATTTACACTCAAGCTATTAAGGTAATGTGAAAAGGCTGTTGATCTGGTGAAGAGGGTGAATACATAGGGTGAAGAAAAGTCTGAGGCTGGGCAAGTGGCTCACGCTTATAATCCGAACACTGGGAGGTTGAGGTGGGAGGACTGTGTGAGCCCAGGATTCTATACCAGCCCGGGGAACACAGCAAGACACTGCCTCTACAAAAAAAAAAAAAAAAATATATAGCTAGGCAGAGTGGCATGCACCTGCAGTCCCAGCTACAAAAAGAAAAGCCTGAAAGAATGAAAAATTAATAGAGAAAGGAATGATTGATCAGCTTAGTGACCACAAGATTCCAGTAGAAAATCTTAAGTTAAAAGCTATCAGGTAAGGTTAGAAACCACAGAACCCTACACATTCATAATTGTTCAGGGAGAATTTTTTAACTCTCCATTGTAAATAAGTACAGAGAGTGGGGGCATATGCATCATAGCCATTATCTTTATGCCTAGATTTACGAAAGAGGAAAGGCTTAAGGACTCACAGAACTAAATTCATCTATCCTTAATATACCAAAGTATTTTTAAACAAAAGTTGATGATTCTGAAAAAGATGAGAATTATTTTAGTTCTCAGAGCTGCAACTTCACCTTGAACTGCTGGGTAGCATTTTCCTTTTGGTCCCCCGGTAAGCATCTTCCATCTGTTTTTCCAGTTCTCTTATTTTCCACATATCTGATTCCTCCTGAATCTAGAATTTTTGAAAAGGAAAGAAATAAAAATAAGTTACTAAAAATAACTTTACATTACAGAAAAGTAACTAACTGGCCGGGCGCGGTGGCTCACACCTGTAATCCCAGCACTTTGGGAGGCCGAAGCAGGCAGATCATGAGGTCAGGAGTTCGACAGCAGCCTGACCAACATGGTGAAACCCCGTCTCTAATAAAAATACAAAAATTAGCCGGGCAAGGTAGCATGCACCTGTAATCCCAGCTACTCAGGAGGCTGAGGCAGCAGAATCCTTGAACTCGGGAGGCGAAGGCTGCGGTGAGCCGAGACCACACCATTGCACTCCAGCCTGGGTAACAAGAGCGAAACTCCGTCTCACTGTGCCACTGCACTCCAGCCTGGGCTACAGAGTGAGACTTGGTTTCAAAAAAAAAAAAAAAAAGTAACTAACTGAAAATACAATCTGACTAATTATTGGGCTACAGACTGGGCTATGATCAGGAACCTGGAAAACAAATTGGTTTCTCTAGAAAGTGGCTGAACAGTCCAATCCAGTAAATCTCAAATATCTAGAATTATTCCCCAATAGAATTTTTAAACCCCTGCATAAACATCACCTTATCAATTTTGCAATTATGCTGCGATTAGCAAATGATAATGCCACATTTCCAAAATGCAATGTGATTTTAATTGTATCATCTCAATTGAACTTTAAGCAATCTCATGAGGAAAATAAAGCAGCTACCATTATTACATTTTACTGTAAAGAAACAAAAGCTCAGAGATTTTACCAAAGTCAAAAAACTAGTAAGGACAGGTCTTTAAACTCCCTAAGCTATAAATCTCTTCTCATAACATAATTTTTGTCAAAAATAAAATAAACAGTATGGCTGCTAGAGAATTTCTTGAAAAGCAGAATGTGATTACCCAAAGAACAAGAACACATTTTATTTCTAAGTCTTCCCGCATAATTTCATTAGATCTGTGCTAGATTTATCTTTTTCTAGTTGCCATTTTAAATCTAAGCTTACTATACAACTAGGGGCAGGTTAACATAATGGCACAGGCAGCTTGGGGTAACAGTTTTACCCTTGCCCATAATTTTAAAAATCAGGTGATATGATAGTAATAATATGATCAAACCAAAAGTAGTAGTTTACTGAAGAAAACTAAACCAGGTGCCTTGGCCCTCTTTTCATTATATGTGCTCTCCTAGGTGACCTCATTTACTCTCATGACCTCTTATCATCAACCTATACATCAATAATCCCGAAACCTTTATGTTCAGCCCCAACTTTTCTCCTCTACTCCAAGTCTGAATTTTCAACTGCTTGGACATCCTATAAGCACCTCACCATCAACATGTTGAAAACCAAATTACCTTTCCTATCATAATTGTCCCCTTTTTTGTTCTTTATCCCAATTAACAGAATCATCATCACCCACCCAGTCACATAGGTGGTTACACAGTTGACCTTGAACAACAGGGATCTCAACTGTGCCGGTCCACTTATCCTCAGATTTGCTTCCACCTCTGCCACCTGTGAGATAGCAAAACAAGCCCCTCTTCTTCCTCCTCAGCCTACTCAATGTGATTTTCTTAATAAAATGTTCTTTTCTCTAGCTACTTTACTATAAGAATACAGTATATAATACATGTAACATAAAAAATATGTGTTAATCCACTGTTTATGGTATTGCTATGGCTTTCAGTCAGTAGCAGGCTATTGGCACTTAAGTTTTGAGGGAGTAAAAAGTTATACATGGATTTTCGACTATTCAGGGGGTTGATGCCCCTAACCCCTGCATTGTTCAAGGGTCAACTGAATTAGATTCCATTCTTATCATTATCATCTAATTAGCCACCAAGTTCTTTGGACTCTATCTCCTAAATTCCTCTTCTTTATCCCTGCTGTCACTAATTTCACGCGAACCCTCATCACCTCTCACCTGTAATACTGCAATTGCCTCCTAATTAATCTCCCTACTGTTTCTCCCCATCTGATTCATTCCCCACCCATCTGACAAACCATCTTTCTAAAATATAACTATGATCATGTCACATCCTGTTTAAAAACATTTGATGGCTTCTTTACTGCCTAGAGGAAAAAGTCTCAGTTCCAAACATCACAATCCAACTCTAATGACCACTGAGGCCTTATCTTCTGCGCCTATCCCTTCATTCCCCGCTTTCTGGAAAATTTCTTGCCATGCCCTGAGTGATTAATGCTCTTTTTTGTTGCCATATTAATGCATGATGCTCTCTATCCAGAATGATCTTTCATACCTAGTAAGCTTATACTTATTCAAGAACCAGTTTAAATGTCAGCAGCTCAAATACCACTAATTCTGTAAAATCTTTTCTAATTCCCCGGGGTAGATTTTATTATTTCCTCCTTAGTGCTCCAAAGCACTTTGCAAATATCTGTTATACAGTACATATCAAACTGTATTATAATTATCTATTGTATTCATCATTTTATTTCCTACTTTGTACAAAAGCTTTCAAAGACTAGATGACAAGAATATTCTTTGTATCTCCCAGTTGTGCCAAAATAATGCTTGGCACCCTGCTTACTTTCAGTAAGCACTGAGGAGTAACTAGGTTGTATCTCCCACCTTATTGTGAGCATCTGTGTGCCGGATGACATTCCTCAGGAGAACTTTCCCCAGTGGAATCCGGGACATTCTTCAATCTGAAATGAATCAACAAATAACGTTTAGTAATAATTTATTTTATTACTTTATCTTTTCTTAAATTTTATAAAGAAGCATGAGGTAAAGGAAAGATCACTGAACTAGAAGTCAGAGATCCTAAATAATAGTTTTCCCTTTACCATTAAAAGAGGGAAATGCCTAAACACACTAATGTGAGATGAAAGGAGATAATGTACATTAAAGTTCTTTGAAAATGCACAAGACTGCATAAAATTAAGTGCTTTCATGAGCACCATTTTATTTAATCCTCATAACTATTTTTTATATGAGGCAAATATCTCCATCCCTATTTTGTAGATGAAGTTCCCTTAAACTTGTCATGCCCCAAGCCACATAGTCCCAGGCAAATGATGTATATCAATGTCTAGATTAAAAATCAAACCTCCAATCCCAATATTAGTTTGCAGTGAAGCAAATACGTAGATTTGAGAGTATCAGGAACCACAGGTGTCAACAGTAACAGAAACTGATGACTCAAAACATCAAATGCAAAGATGTCCTAAACTTCTCCATTTGGGAGCATTTTATTTCCTACTTGGTACGGAAGCTTCCAAAAACTAGATGACAAGAATATTTTCGTGTGTAGCTAGCACAGGCTTTGTGCAACCACCCCAACGCTCACTCACCCCTTGATCCTGAGGAAATCAGGCATCTTGTTAGTGAGACGAAGAACCACTCCATTACAAGATCTCCTCCGACCCAGGAAGCCAAGGAGTCAGGGCTCAAAGGCAGCTCTGCAGCTTCACCCGAGTCCTTCGTGAAAACGCAGCCTTCCCACTGGTTAATCTGCCCTCACCTGTGGCCCAGGCCACTGCCGCCTTTCCCCCAGCCCAGATCGACAGGCAGATCTCTCTCGCGGACTGAGGCCGGAGACTGAGCCGGCGCGGAATTCGGACAGCCCGGTTGACCCGGGCATTCCCCCCTCACGCTCCTCTGGGACGAACCCCGGGGGTAAGTTTCACTCCCCAGAAAGGATGGGAACGCTTTGGATGGCTATGGCCTTCGGTTGGGCCCCAGGAAGTATCTAGGGGGCCTGAAGCGGGGGTTGAGGTTTCCAAGTGGAAGACAGAGGAAATATCCCCATCTTTGTCACCGGGATCCCTGTCCCCCAGCGGCCTCGGAGCTCCCGGTAACCTCCCCTCCAAACGCCCTCCCCACACAAATACACACAAACACACCCATACCGTGCGCCGCTGCCTCGCGTGGCGGGGGGTAGGGGGGAAGAAGCGGTTTGGGAGAAAAAGGAGGAGACTTCCTTCTCAGGCCGGAAGTGGTGCTCCTGAGAAATAGTCCCACCAACAGGCAGCCCAGAGACTCCCAGAAGGGAGGGTTTTCAGGACACTCCAGAGGTTGACGGGTGCAGAAGGGAGGCGGGCGCTTTCCTGGAAGAGAAGTGGATCGGGCCCAACTGAAAAGCAAGCCTGGTACCAGAAGGGGGACATTCCGGAACTAGATATGAGGAGACTTTTCTGCCTGAAACTCCCCGGACCCAATTAGATGTTGTACCCAGGCTGGTTACCCTGGTAACAGGCGTCGCGGTTTGTCAAGGAGCTGAGAGAAGAGGTGGGTTTGCCAGCCTATAGAATGACTACCCGTTAGAACAGAGAAGAGGTGGGTTTGCAGACCTATGGAATGATTACCCGTTAGTTAAGCTTCCCATTTAGCGTAACCCTTACACAGTAGTTGAAGAATCTAAACCTTTTTGCCTCATTCTAAAGATGCTGTGGGACACCTCTCCAATGGGAGAAGAGGCTAAGGAGAGTTATCTGAAGACGTAGAGAAGTGTCCCAGCCTCTCTATTAGCTTCCTTAATCCTCGCAATAACCCTATGATAATATAGGTATTATCGTCTTCATTTTGAACAGAGTAAGAGGAATATATATATATATGTATATGTATGTGTATGTGTATATATATACACACACACACACACACACACACACACATCAATTGCTCAAGGTCATACAGCTAGTGAGAGATAGAACTAAGACCGGAATCTAGGCATTCTGGCTCGCAAGTCCATGCTTTGAATTACTAAACTATAATGAGGATTAAGGAAGTCTCATGTGGCCCTCACCCCATACACACCTCTGGCAATTTCAGAACTGGGGAGCCACCAGTCAGTGAGGTGTTGGAACAAGAAGATCAGGAAACCCAGATTTAAAATGATTGCTCTGACTTGTCAGGGTCCAAGTAGAAGTAAAGTCTTATCTGAGAGGACAATGTGAGAATTTAGGAAGAGGTACTAGATAATTAAAGAATAAGGAAAACATAAAGTGGTGCTGCTGATCCACAATCTTTTAGACACAAATGCTAAGTCCTAACTTCACCAAAACAATTCCTGGCCCATTCCGCCTCCCCAAAGCAGAAATGAATCAACAATTACACAGGGCCGGGCGTGGTGGCTCAAGCCTGTAATCCCAGCACTTTGGGAGGCCGAGACGGGCGGATCACAAGGTCAGGAGATCCAGACCATCCTGGCTAACACGGGGAAACCCCGTCTCTACTAAAAAATACAAAAAACTAGCCGGGCGAGGTGGCGGGCGCCTGTAGTCCCAGCTACTTGGGAGGCTGAGGCAGGAGAATGGCATAAACCCGGGAGGCGGAGCTTGCAGTGAGCTGAGATCCGGCCACTGCACTCCAGCCTGGGCGGCAGAGCGGGACTCCGTCTCAAAAAAAAAAAAAAAAAAAAATTACACAGACAGTTTTCTTCCCAAAGTCATGTCTTTCCACAGGCTTAAGAAAATTATTCACCACTCATCAGTCATGGAGACATCCTCAAAGGGTCTGCTCACCCAAGTTACTCAATTTTGGAACCTCCTAGATGATCTAGCTGAAAGTGACCCTGAGGGCTATGAGAAGTTTATTCAACAGCAGCTGAAAGAAGGGAAACAGCTCTGTGCTGACCCACAACCACAGCTTTGTCTACAGACCAGGATTCTGGTATGTCGAGTTGGTGCCAGGGATGGGGAGGTCTTGAATAAAATGATCCCAGAGTAACCACAGAATACTTTGCACTTAGGCATTGCTTTTTTTTTTTTTTTTTTTTGAGACAGAGTTTTGCTCTGTCACCCAGGCTGGAGTGCAATGGCATGGTCTTGGCTCACTGCAACCTCCGCCTCCTGGGTTCAAGCGATTCTCCTGCCTCAGCCTCCCAAGTAGCTGGGATTACAGGTGTGCACTACCATGCCTGGCTAATTTTTGTATTATTAGTAAAGACAGGGTTTCACCATGTTGGCCAGGCTGGTCTTGAACTCCTGACCTCAGGTGATCTACCCGCCTCAGCCTCCCAAAGTGCTGTGATTATAGGCATGAGCCACCGCACCCAGCGGACTTTTTTTTTTTTTTTTTTTTTTGAGATAGGGTTTTGCTGTCGCTGAAGCTGGAGTGCAGTGGCACAATCACAGCTCACAATCACAGTTCATTGCAGCCCAAACGATCCTTCCACCTCAGCCTCCCAAGTAGCTGGGATCACAGGTGGGCACCACCACACCTGGCTAATTTTTAAATTATTTTTGTAGAGACAGGATCTCCCTATGTTTCCCAGGCTAGTCTCGAACTCCTAGGCCTCAAGCGACCCTCCTACCTCAGCCTCTCAAAGTACTAGGGTAACATACGTGAGCCACCACCCTGGTCTGGTTTCCTGATTAAAAGCCAGCAACCTTGGGGAAATCAAGTAACAACAGTATAATCAAACACAATTTTAATACCTAGGCTGCAGTGCAATGGCACAATCCTGGCTCACTGCAATCTCTGCTTCCTGGGTTCAAGCGATTCTCCTGCCTCAGCCTCCTGAGTAGCTGGGATTACAGGTATCTGCCACCACACCTGGCGGACTTTTGTATTTTTAGTAGAAATGGGGATTCACCACGTTGGCCAGGCTGGTCTCAAATTCCTGACCTCAGGTGATCCAGGCACCTCGGCCCCTACAAAGTGCTGGGATTACAGGCATGAGCCACCATGCCTGGCCTTAAATGGTTTTAAACTAGGTTTTGAGATGTGCAAAATTATTTGCTTTCCAGAAACCAAAAGAAAAAATACTTTTTATCAACCTGTGTCAGTGGACAAGGATCCCAGCTCCCCAATCAGCCACTCATCCAGTACCTCTAACTGTTGGCAAACCAGAAGATACAACTGAGACATCAGGTACAAATAATTAAGGGAGAGAAAGCACATTGTACAAATTTTATTAGGAATGGACAAGATTTTACTTGGTTGAGAGCATTTCAAGTAAAATTCTTTATTTGGTGATAACAGAATTACAATTAGTGTACCTTTATGCAAATTTAATAGTTTAACTTTTGTAATAAGATGCGGTTTTAATCCATGTAAAAGTGCCAGGAAATGTCATAATTGCTGTAGCACTACTGTGATTACCTCTGAAAAATACAGGAATATTCTCTAGCTTTATCAGGAATATGGTTTAATATATTGCCTGACAGTATCATTAGTGCAACAATTTATCTTCATTTCATACCCTTTCATTTACACACACAGATGCTTACATGGTCATTGATGTTGCCTACAATCCTGATGTTCTTCAGGCAGCAGAAAAGAACCAAGTGGAAAAAAATCAGTTAATTCAGATGGCCATGAAATGCATTGAGGAGAAATTCCAGTTTACCCTTTCACACTCTTACCATATTACCAAATTTAGAATAAAGGGAAGCATTCAAAGAATGAAACAAAATCTGATGGGAATCCAAACTGATTCCATAGATTTAAGAGAAAAAATGAGACGGGGTAAGTTGATGATTGTAAATGGAAAATTAAACTGCTTTAAGATTTTTTTTGCATCCTTGTATACATTTTGAAAACTAGAAATCTCTATTTTAAAAGGTGAGAAACTTAAGATAGAAAAATGTAAATATTAGATATTAGAAATATCATATCCTTGATTTTTAAATCCTGAAAAATTTGCAATCAAATTATTTAGTTTAAGATTCTTTTGGCTTAAGATTCCCAAACTAATTTAACTGCAGCTTTATCTACCATCTCTACTAACACCACATATATTACAGCTCATAGTATTTTATGTTGTGGATTTATTTTTTTATCTCCCCTCCACCCTTTTTTTCATAAAGAACTAACTCTTGGACAGATACGAAGCAGTACTATGAGCAATCCAGATCATTTTCCTCAGCTGTTACTCCGAAAAGACCAAGTTTCAGGCAAAGCAGTGTGTCTGATAGAAGAGATTTCCAGTACTGAAATCCAGGTGGAAATAAAGATACCAGCCTATGAACTAAAAATTGTGCATGATCACAATGAGAAACCTCTGAAAACTGAGTTGAAAGTTGAATTACCTGGTATTAATTCTGTCTCTCTCTGTGACCTTAGTGTTTCTGAGGTAAGTTGAATAGATAATACTGTAAATTTGTATCAGCCAGCATTCATTATATTATGCCATAGTAATAAACTGCATAATTTTAGGGGCTTACAATGATTTGCTCAGATTACCCGGTGAAGGAGCAATTCCCATTTGAGATGTGCCATTCACATCTCGGCAAAGGGAAAATAGAAATGATCAAACCATGCAATGGATGGTAATACTTCTACTCAGACATGACACTTCATGGTATCACTTCTACTCATGCTCCATTGGCCAAAATAAGTCACAAGGCCAATTCTACATCAGTAGGACTGAGAATTGTATTCTCACAGTCACAGGAAGTCATATGGCAGGAATATACTATCCTCTTACAGAAGAGCAAATAGAGTCAGTCCTACAATCTACCAGTCTACACTCTCGGTTGCAAATATTTGCTGCTTTCTGGAAGGAAAACACCTCTAATCCCAGTATCAGACTCCAAAGGACAGAATTTTGCATTCTCTTCCTCTTGAGCCATGGACTAAGACATGTAAAGAAAAGTTATGTGCTCCCTCAGTCCCATCCATCATGAAATGTGGAATGGGGAGAAGATAACCATAATTAACCATCTCAATTCAGAAATGGGAAAAATAAGAGGCACACTGAAGTTACTGGTGCACAGCAATTCTGAAATCCTAGTAGGCAGGCATTGTGAGGGCTCCTTTTCTGGAGGTAAGAGGATGTTCTTACTTAAGGTACCTTGAGAAAGTTCTGTAATTACCTAGCTCCCCAGTTCCATTGTTTTCCACGACCTTTCTTCAGTCTTCAGGAGGATGTTTTCTTTTTTTTTTTTTCCCTTTCCCACTATCCACCTTGGCCACATCTGAAGAGTATTGGAGAATGTGCCATTCTCAGATGCTAAGTAGCCTTTTCAGCCTGGTTTCTGCTCCTGGTATCTTGGGGCTCAAAGGATTGTTTTAAAT